GAGGGAGAGATATCGATTGGTTGCCTCCACTGAGCCAGGTCCAATCTGCAACCCAGGTAGTGCCTTTGACGGGGAATGGACCCTGGACCCTTCAGTGAACCAGGGCCAGGGCTCACCCCTTCTTTTTTGAGGGATCCAGTTCCTGAGGCATGCGGGAGGTGGGTCCGTCCATCCATGCAACAAAGGCTTCCTGAGCAGTAAGTGCCCCTGCATGCAGGACACCTCACCTCTGCTTCACATCCCATTTCGGTTTAATTTTCAAACCACGCTGAGAGAGGTGGGCACAATTATCCCCATTTTACAGAGAAGAAAACTGAGGCCCAGACACTCATAGTCTCCCCGGGAGGGGAAGACCTGGGTTGATCCCATAAGGTCAGTGTCCACTCATCACCATATTACAGATGGAGAAACTGAGGCACAGAGGGGAGACATCATTTGCCTAAAGCCCTCCATCAGTGGTTGGAAGAGCTAGGTTTTGAACAGAGATCTCCTGACTTTAGAGGGGGTCAGCTCTTAAGCCAATTAGGAAAGTGTGCAGAGAGCACAGTGGTCTGGGGCTCAGTTTTCCCATCTGTAACAAGGTATGGAGAGGCTTAGAGTGGGGTTCCTTCATCTGGGGTACATAGGTGAGCAAGCCATGTACCTTGAATACCAGAAAGGTGTATGCAAATATGTTTTTGTGATGCACACGTGTGCGCGCGCATGTTTTTGTGTGTGTGCATGTGCATGTGTGCACGTATGATGGGTGTGTGTATTTATGGAGAGAGACCACAGCTCTCATCAGAGGGGCCCAGAGCCCTCCAAAACTCCCGGACAGGCTCTAACCCCTTTCTGCCTGGATTGACGTGTATCAGGCAGTCCTGAGCTGGGGATTCCCTGTCCAGCTGGATGGTGCACGGGGGGCCTGTCCCTCAGAATCCTGCCATGGGTTTGTCCAGACCCAAGATCTCTGCTGGGATATGCCAATAGGAAGGATCTGCCAGCCCCACCTCTGCCTTCTGAGGACTGCCTCTCCTGGACTCACCGGGGCTGACAGCACCAGGTCCCCGGGCTGAGTCTGGATGAGGGAGGGTGTGCTGACACAGAGGACCTGACCCCTGTGCCCCTGAGAGGGTGGGTAGGCAGTGAGAGCTGGGTACAGACCCTGCTTCTGCCACCTCAGCCCGTTAGCTTGGGTAAGTCCTGCCCTTCTCTGAGCTTCATTTTCTCTTTGTAAGGAGGACATTGCACAGTCCTTATGGGTGTGTGGGCAGGAATGAGAAAATGCAGTGCTGCCCTGACACCCACTCTCCCCTGCTTCATATGGTCCCCCAAGGGAAACCCGCTTGCTCCAACAACATCATCACAGTGCCAACTTTGCCCCCTTGGGAAGTTCCCTCCCTCCTTCCATGTGAGAGTTTTGGGCATCTACTTTGTGCCACCTACCTGAACCCCAAGAAATGCAGCTTTGTGCCTGTCCAGTTAGCCCTTGTTTTTGATACAACTAGATCAGTGACTTAATCCCTTGGATGACTTGTTATTCTCAAAAGGCCATCTCCTAAGAGGCTCCCAGGCCCACCTTCAGCCTGGTCAAGTGGCTGGGATCAAAACCCATCTTTCCAAAGGGCACGTTGAGGGGCATGCAGCTCTTTAGGAAAGAGAAGAGCTGGGCAGTCTCTTGGCAGGCCTGTGAGGTAACTGGGACTCCTGATGGGTACTACAGACTGAGGAAGCACTGCCAGGTCTGTTTGCAACATGTTTGAGATGCCCCTGTAATTAAAGGCATACACATTTCTTTACTACCAAACTCATGGGAGCTTCAGGCTACTAAGGGATTTCTCCATCAAGGAACCATCTCGGTAAAAGCTGTTACTAACATTTTGATATCAGAGGGGATCCTGTCCTTGCTGAGGCTGGGATCTCTGTCCAGGGTATTTATTTATGACTACAGTCACATCCTGTGACATAGCCTGGTGGTTACTGCATAGGCTCAACACCCCATAGGCCTAGATGTCAATTCCTGTGTGACCTGGGATAAGACACCTCCCCTCTCTAAGCCTCATTTCCTTGCCGGAAAAAAATAAGTCATAGGACCTTTTTAAGATCCCTTTGGCTCAAGGGCCCATGCTTCTGGGAAAGATTGAAGGCTTTGGGTCTCCCTATGGGCACAGCCCAAAGCCCCCTTTTAGGGGCGCACTTTCCTGATGGATGTCAGCCTGTTTTCTGGTCTTCTTTCCTCCCTGAGCAAGAAGGGCAGGAAATGCCTCAGGGACCTGGGTCTTGGTCATTTGAGGTTTCAGTATTTGCTGAGACAGGGAGGAGAGGGGCCCGCTGGCTTGAGGTCTCAGGCCTGTCCCTGTGGGCAGGGCCTCCTCCCTGGGGGCTGGTCCTCTCGGCTGCCAAGACCAGACCACAACCGCCAGTTAGGACAGCAGCTTCCGCTCCTGAGCTCTGCCTGTGCCAGGCGCTGTGCTAAGCAGTTTGCTTGCATTGTCTCCTGCGCTCCTCTCCACCGCCCAGGGGTTGAGGGTGCCTTATTATCCCCAGGTGTGGGGCTAGCCACAGGTCCACAGCTGGTGACTGATGGTTACCCACTAGGCCACACTGCCGCCCTCTGGCTGAGCCCCTCAGGAGAACTTCTTTAGGGGAAAAAAATGAGAACTCAGTTCAGATTTAGACTACCGTCTGGGAGCTGATGAGGTGAGAGAGAACACATGGACCACACAGGGACACGAATTGGACATGCAAACTACACACACACACACACACACACACACACACACCCTCCCCCAGCAGGCCTTCTGTTGAGGACTCACTGACACATCCACCCTGGCCTAGTCCAAACAGGAAATGCTGTTCTCCCCATAGCAAACAAACCTGGGTCACAGCCTCCTTCCCCTGTCACCTCCAACTGGGCCCGCACCAAGTGCCTCTTTCCTCTGCCTGTGTCCCCCAGGACAGCCTCCCCAGCTCAGGGTGCCCAAGTCAGCCCTCTTCACACACCAGTTTGTGTGAGCTCAGGCATTCCACCTGATCTGTACCCACATCATGCCCATTCTATAGGTGAGGAAGCAGCCCAAGAGGGCAGAGTGTTGCCCAGAGCCCTTGGTGGCAGCCCCCAGGGACCCAGAGCCTGTGGCAGCAGCCCCGGATGTCATGAAAACGAAGGGCCCATGTAAACGTCAGTGGCCTTCAAAGCCTCTGCCCAGACAAAGGGCCGGCCGGAGGGCGGGGCCTTCTAGGTTTCAGAACAATGCCCGCTTTCTGTGCCTTTGATCTGGAGGCCTGGCCCTGCTGCCCCTCAGTCCCAGAGCAGGGGCCACCCCGTTGGGCCACAGCAGGGGCACTGGGGGTCCCAGAGAGCCTGCAGCTGCCGGGCCAAGTTATTTATGCTCCATGGAGCTGCCCTTCTCACCCAGCTCATTCCTTCCTCACGGAACTGGGACTGGGGCTGGAAGGGAGTGATGGGAGGAAGGAAGCTGCCGGAAAATCATTAATTAGGGCTCTGAGAGGGCCTTCCTGCCCTCCCCAGGAATCCTCAGGCAGAGAAACTTACGCCGTTGGGGTTGGGGGAGGACAACAGCGGACAGGGCAGGGCACAGCAAGTGTGGCAGGACAGGGTGCCTGTACTTGGAGTCAGGAGACCTAGATGTTCAGTGTGATCTAGAGGGAGTCCCTTCTTTCCAGGCCTCAGTCCCCTATCTGGAAAATGGGATGATACAAGACTTGGGGACTTTCCTGTGACTGCTT